CCAGCCTACGCCACCCCCAATACCAGGAACACTCAGGCGCAACGGGGAGTCTAGTCAAGCAGGGGGACTCATTTATTGCAGGTGTTACAGAGCTTATAAAGGCACCTGGAAATCCCCCCTCCCCCCTGAGGGTGTATCTTAAGGATGGTCCCGGGCTGATCATGCACTCCTCAGCAGTGTGGAAGTATTCTTCAGACTTTCAAAGCAAGCCAGGCCACGCCCCCAGTAACTTCCTTTCCGACCTATGCAAGGTGGGGTTTTTAGGTCCCCACAGTATCCTTGCTTCTAAGCAAGGCACTAGATCTTTGACCCAACAAGCACGGTACTGGTGGCAACAAGCTCTGAATGCTGGAGAAATTCCATGGCACATAGGAACAAACTCCTCCACTTTCATTTCTTTTCAGAAGTTTGATCCTGGAGATCTGTATGTAAACATCTTAAGACAGAGAGATAAAACATCATTAGGACAACCTGTTCTCATCCTGGGTGGTAGGTCAAGTTCCTCAGGATTAGTTAGAAGATGCTGGACTACCAGTATAATGCTGCAGTTTTAAATTGGACCTTGTCTCTCTCCAAACTGTAAACTTCTCTGAAGTTAATCGCATTCCAAAAAGAGAGCCCCAGCACCCTTCCATTCTTTCATATTCAAACATGTGCCTTAAACTGGCAGAACAGAGCTAGATAACTCTTTCTAACTGTCTTTTAGAGACATGAAGGAAGGCCTAGAGCTGGTCAGTGATTTGCTCAAGGGTACACAGTGACATAAAGGCAAAGGAAAAAATTTAGACTCACGCTCTATATTATAGAGTAGGGTCAAGCTCAGAGATGAAGTTCATATGATAAGCTATTACACTCAAGCACTCAATGGTGGCAATGAAGCAGAAGAACTTCACCTCAGCTGCCACTCATTCATTTATTCTGCAAGGCAGTAGAATAGATTGTTGAAGGTGTGTATGTTTAGCACACCATTTCAGGCTGCTATTAAGATACTAAAGAGTACATAAGGAGCCAGGCATGGTGGAACACATCTGTAGCCTCAGCACTCAGGAGGTGGAGGTAGGAGGGTCTAGAGTTTCCGGTTAGGCTTTGTAGTAAAACCCTATGTAAAATAAAGTAAATAATAAGTAAATAAATAAATAATGCCTGTCTATTTGTTCTTATAGCATTGAGAATAACACATATATGGAAAACAGAAATCTACTATGATTAAAAATGCATAATTATAAAGGCCCAAATCAATATTTTCAAACTTAGCGAACATCAGGGCTGGAGAGATGGCTCAGTGATTAAGAGCACTTGTTGCTTTTGCAGGGGATCTAGGTTCAGTTCCCAACATACACGGTGGGATTTTTAAAAAACTTTTAAAAAATGCTTCTGGAATGCCATATGCTTATTAAATGGAACAAGTATCATTTATCCTCCAGAGTGAAGTATAAAACTATTGATTTCTATTCTTTTCATAGACTAAATACACCAGTGAGTCATTTTAGTGTCGGTCTTTTCATCTGATTATCCTAAGCGTTAAATGAGGTAAAAATATATCAATTACTGGGGCTGGAGAGATATGGCTCAGCGGTTAAGAACACTGGTTATTCTTGCAGAAGACCGGGGCTTGAATCCCAGCACCCACATGGCAGCTAACAACTGTCCATAACTCCAGTCCCAGGGGCTCTAACAGCCTCTTCTGTTCTCTGCGGGCATTGCATGACATGGGTGCACTTACCTACATGCAAGCAATACACACATACACATAAAATAAAAATAAATCAATTACTTAGCAACCTGCCTAAGATATGTTAAACAGCATATTTTTAAGCATTTTTTCCTTTTTATTGAATTTTTGTGAATTTCATATAATATGTTTTGGTCGTATTTAGGTCTCTTTCCATATCTGCATATATATATATAATCAATATAGAGTCAGGTTTGTGTCCCCAAATACCCTTCAGCCTGGGTTCATCCACTGGAGCCTGGTCAACCTACCAATTCTCACACATAAATGAGACTGACTTTCCCCTTCCTACATTGCCAATAGTTCCTCAGGTAGGGCTGGGATTTTTTCATCCACATCTCCACATCTATGCTGAGATTTTGAGCTTACGTGGGATTTGTGCATGCTGCCATCATTACTAAGCAGCATATTTTAAAATCATCTTTAAATTGAATATATGGGGAAAAGGTGAAAGTTAAAATAGAAAAAGCTATACAAAACAAGTTTCTTTTGTCAATGATTTTTTTTAAAGTTTTTAAATTTTATGTGTATGAGTGTATTGCCTGCATGAATGTAAGTGCACCCATGTTGTGCAGTGCCCACAGAGGTCAGAAGAGAGTCGGATTCCCCTGGAACTGGAGTTATTGATGGTTAGCCACTGTGTGCTCTTAACCACTGAACCATTTTTCCAGCCTCTTGTCAATTTTTTTTTTTTTTTGAGACAGGGTCTCCCTGTAGCCCCAGCTGGCCTAGAACTCACTATGTAGACCAAACTGGCCTTGAACTCACAGAGATCCACCTGCCTCTGCCTCCAAGTGCTGGGATTAAAGGCATGCTCCACCATGCCCAGCCAGTCAATGACTTTTAGAAAAAGATTTATTTTATTTTTTTAATTTTTTATTAAATTTTGTTGTATTTCATACAGAATATCTCAAACACTTTGAATCATCTTTATAGCCCTGTCCCCACCAACACCCTCCCATAGACCCCCCTTCCCTCCCCCATTGGAATCCATATACTCTGTTCTGGGTGTTAAGAAAAAAGATTTATTTTATATTTAATTATGTGTGTGTGTGTCTGTGGGTATGTGCAGAGCTGGAGTTACAGTGTGAGCCACTTGACATGGGTGCTGGGAACTGAACTCTGGTCCTCTGCAAGAGCAATACAAACTCTTAACGACCGAGTCATCTCTCCAGCCTCTTTGTTGTTGTTGTTGTTGTTATTGTTTTGAGACGTGGACTCTCTGTATAGCCCAGGTTGGCCTCAAACTCAAAATCCTCCTGCCTTACCTCTTAGAGTGCTCGATTTAATGATTCGAACCACCACACCTGGTTGATGTTTCCTTCTATTATTACTGTGATTACTAGAGAGTGCCAAACAAATGTAAGGTTTTTGATTAAGGAAAGAGGTTTACAAAGTAAGAAACATCATGGTTTGAGTCAGAACCAAGTAAAAAGACGTAAGTATTCTGGCTAAATTCCAGCATGAATGAATAACATTCTCCAACTTCAAAAAAATTTTTATTATTAGCTAACACTTGTCCATCCCAGCAATAAATACGGTGCATAAAGGGTACAGGCCTCCCTTGGCATGTTGGCAGGCTACACATACTTTCCACTGAGGGTTTTCCTTTCCTTTTCTTTCTGACTGCTGTGGCATACTTTTACAATGTCCACTACTTCCAACGCCCAGAGCTTTTGTAGACCCAGAGTGCCAAGTAGTTACCAAGAACCACAGGGATTAAACATGAACACCTGTAGAACTCCAGGCACTGAAAGAAGCAATGTATATTTAAAACATTTATTAATAGCTGTGTCTGGGATGAGATTGTTCATTCCTTCTAAACTTTGATACTGAGATTAAAACACGCAGTTTCATTAGTTCCCACAAAGCCTTGTTGATAAACAGAAGATGGCTCTTCAGCACTTTAGTTTCCCAGCAGTATAAAAGGCACAGAAGGTAACAATAACACGCAGTACATCTCAGCCACCAAAGCCAGTCCGGAGTCTTTCAAATGTCCCTGGGCCCTCTCTCTATTTCACTCTTTTCCCAGTGGAAAGAAGAGGTGGGGAGCAGTATACAATTTAAAGCCTGTTGGTGAGCGTGTGAATGAATTTCAAGTATGCTAAACACCTCAGTCTTCCAACCTAATTAGAACACGTAGAAAAGAGGCATTTGTAGGACATTTAAAACTTGCAGCGTAGTAGCTCATCTGGAGAGCGCCCCTGTGTGTCCTTGCGGTTCCTGCGCGAGGTGGGTCTTCCTGCCGTGGCCCGCTGCCCCCAGTCCCCAGGCCCGCACCGCGCGGGAGTGTCCAGCTTCGCAGCGGGTCCTCTGCGCCCTGCAGCATACCCAGCCCCCAGCCCGGGTAGCTTCTTTCTACCTGCGACTTCGGACCTGTCTGGGAGTATAAACCCCGACTGGTGAGGACTAGCATCCAGAACTGGAAAGAAATTCTCTTTCTTGTCACAACAGTAAGATTTTGTTACGATATGTGGAAGGGAAGGTCAAATCCTGGGCGATACCGATATTTCCCGGGGATGGAGGAATGGTTGAGATTGTGAATGCTGCTGCTCAGCTCCTCGGTTCAGGCCCCTGATTTGCCATCCCAGCGCCTACTGTGTGCCAGGTTGTCGGCACCGGGCGGAGCCCAGCTCTGTCGAGGTTCAATGCTGTCATGTTAACTCAGCTGTCTAGGTCAAGTTCTTAAGTCTCGGTTTCTTCGCCTGTGAGAACTGTAAGGATTTCAGGTCGCGTGTTAAGATGCAAACGATTAACAAACGTGCAGTTGGGCACACAATAAGGGCTCATTAAATACTGGTGCTTCTTTCACCCAGTCTAACCGAGACAGCTCAGGAGGGAGACAGGTGGCTCAGCTAAAACAGATCCTTTCAGTTCTCCTAAACAGGCGCCGAGTCTCATAGGATGCTTAGCTGGAGACCTGGCGGAGTCCCTGGAAGCTGGCGTGCAGAAACCAACACCTTTCAGGAAAGTGAACTCCAGAGGGACTTCGGGCCAGGGTTTCCCGCCCGGGTTCTCAAGGAGGCCTGATTAGCATTCGCCCCGCCTTCCTCGTTTCCCGGTCCACTATTGGCGGGTGCTCTTCCCTTGCCCGCTCCGGGCGGGGCAGTGCGCCTGGGGAGGTGCGGGAGGCCTCCGGGCAGTGGGCGGGGACCGGCGGAGAGCGCGCAGGGGCGCCCTGCACCCGAGCCTAGGCCGGAGGGGGTGGGGCCCGAGGGGCGGGGCCTCCCGGAGGGCTTTAGAAGCAGGTGACCCGAGCTGGGCGGGAGAGCACAGTCAGCCCGGCGGCCGCCACACCGCTGCCGCTGTGCCCGCTGGAGGTGGGCGAGAGTGCGAGAGCGCGGGGGAGGAGCTGAGCGGGGCGCGCCCGAGAGCGCCGCCGCCCCCGGGACTGCTGGAGCGCGGAGCCCCCTGCAGGGGAGCAGGCGAGCGGCTGGCGGGACGCGGCGGCGGGCGCGGACCATGCAGTCCCGGCCCGGCCAGCGCCGGCTGCTCGCTGTGCGGTGAGGTGGCGGGGTCCCCTCCGGCCGCAGCACCCCGCCTTCCTCAAGCGCTAGTGCTGCCAGGCGTCCTTGCCTTTCGTCCCGGACCCCCGAGCAAGGCACGGCCTGCCCCTGCCCTGCTCCGCCCGATCATGCGGGGGACCCCGGAGGAGGAGAAGGCGAATGACCGGCCTGCGCCGACCTTGGTCGCGGGGCGCCCTGCTCTCTGAAACACCCCCACCTGCTGCCATGTGTCGCCGCCACAGGTACCTAGCCTGCCGCTAAACTTTCCCAGCTCTGGCCAGACGGGGAGTCGCATTTCTGAGCACTCCGGTGTGTCCCGGCACGGCGGCCCCCGGTCCCCAGACATCTGCCCCTCTCAGCAGGATCCTCAGAGGTGAGCTTCCCCTTCTCCCAGTTCTCCCGGTTCCCCTGCCCCTTTCCGGGGGACTGAGCTCCCTAGCCCCGAGGCACAGCCTGGAGGGCCGGGCCTGGAAAGAGAAGCGGAGGCGGACGGGGGGAGGAATCTAAAGTTTGGTTCCAGGAGGTGGAGGGAGGAAAGGAGAGGAGTTAACTTAGAGATTGGAGACCGCTTGCAGGGACTGAGCGGTTGGCGCTCCTCTAAGAGGGGTGGTTGCGATTTTCTTCTCCCCTGCCTTCTCTTTTAAGAGTTCTGTCCCAGGAATCGGAGCCCTCGGCGTCTCTCCGCAGCCCCAGCCGGCGTGGAGCCGAGCGCTGCCAGCCGAGGCAGCGCCTTCCTGGAGCAGTTTATCTCTGCACGGATTTCTTAAAGAGAAAAAGAAACCAACAGGTTGCCAGCCCGGGCGTCACTGCAGACTCCGGAGAGGGAAGCCGGGGCCGGGATTCCTCGGCCGGTGTCGGCCCCTCGGGGGCCGCGGGAGGAGAGAGGACCGAGGCGGCGATGGCTCGGCCTGACCCGTCCGCGCCGCCCTCTCTGCTGCTGCTGCTGCTGGCGCAGCTGGCGGGCCGGGCGGCGGCCGCATCCAAGGCCCCGGTGTGCCAGGAAATCACGGTGCCCATGTGCCGCGGCATCGGCTACAACCTGACGCACATGCCCAACCAGTTCAACCACGACACGCAGGACGAGGCAGGCCTGGAGGTGCACCAGTTCTGGCCGCTGGTGGAGATCCACTGCTCCCCGGACCTGCGCTTCTTCCTGTGCTCCATGTACACGCCCATCTGCCTGCCCGACTACCACAAGCCGCTGCCGCCGTGCCGCTCGGTGTGCGAGCGCGCCAAGGCGGGCTGCTCGCCGCTCATGCGCCAGTACGGCTTCGCCTGGCCCGAGCGCATGAGCTGCGACCGGCTCCCTGTGCTGGGCCGCGACGCCGAGGTCCTGTGCATGGATTACAACCGCAGTGAGGCCACCACCGCGTCCCCCAAGTCCTTCCCGGCCAAGCCCACCCTCCCAGGCCCACCAGGGGCGCCATCTTCCGGAGGCGAGTGCCCCGCAGGAGGCCCATCTGTGTGCACGTGCCGGGAGCCCTTCGTGCCCATCCTAAAGGAGTCGCACCCGCTCTACAACAAGGTACGGACAGGCCAGGTGCCCAACTGTGCGGTGCCCTGCTACCAGCCGTCCTTCAGCCCGGATGAGCGCACGTTCGCCACCTTCTGGATCGGCCTCTGGTCGGTGCTGTGCTTCATCTCCACGTCCACCACCGTTGCCACCTTCCTCATCGACATGGAACGATTCCGCTATCCCGAGCGCCCCATCATCTTCCTGTCTGCCTGCTACCTGTGCGTGTCGCTGGGATTCCTGGTGCGCCTGGTGGTGGGTCATGCCAGCGTCGCCTGCAGCCGTGAGCATAGCCACATCCACTATGAGACAACCGGCCCGGCGCTGTGCACAGTTGTCTTCCTGCTAGTCTACTTCTTCGGCATGGCCAGCTCCATCTGGTGGGTCATACTGTCGCTCACCTGGTTCTTGGCAGCTGGCATGAAGTGGGGCAACGAGGCCATTGCCGGCTATGCGCAGTACTTTCACCTGGCCGCTTGGCTCATCCCCAGTGTCAAGTCCATTACAGCACTGGCTCTGAGCTCCGTGGACGGCGACCCGGTGGCTGGCATTTGTTATGTGGGCAACCAGAACCTGAACTCGCTGCGTGGCTTCGTCCTGGGCCCACTGGTGCTCTACCTGCTGGTGGGCACGCTCTTCCTCCTGGCGGGCTTCGTGTCGCTCTTTCGCATCCGGAGCGTCATCAAGCAGGGTGGTACCAAGACAGACAAGCTGGAGAAGCTCATGATCCGCATCGGCATCTTCACATTGCTTTACACCGTGCCAGCCAGCATCGTGGTGGCCTGCTACCTGTATGAGCAGCACTACCGCGAGAGCTGGGAGGCCGCGCTCACTTGCGCCTGTCCGGGCCCCGACACCGGCCAGCCGCGGGCCAAGCCTGAGTACTGGGTGCTCATGCTCAAGTACTTCATGTGCCTGGTGGTGGGCATCACTTCGGGCGTCTGGATCTGGTCGGGCAAGACTGTGGAGTCGTGGCGGCGCTTCACCAGCCGCTGTTGCTGCCGTCCGCGGCGGGGCCACAAGAGTGGTGGCGCTATGGCCGCAGGGGACTACGCCGAGGCCAGTGCTGCGCTCACCGGCAGGACCGGGCCTCCCGGCCCCGCCGCGGCATACCACAAACAGGTGTCCCTGTCGCACGTATAGGAGGAGGGCTGAGGCCCGGGGACCTTGCTGGAGTTGAAGGAGGGGTGTGTTTTGTTTGGTGGCGTTGCGAGGGTCACTTCCGTTTGCCTACATGGTGCTGGTGCCCCCTCCCGTGTGACTTGGAGAGAGGGAAAAAGGGGCGGTGTCTACAGAGTACCAGTCCCCAGTCTTCTACAAGGCTCGGCTCACATGTATTCTAGTTAGCATCTCTTACTGCCTTCTTTAGAAGAACTCTTTTTAATTTATATGTATTTTAATTTTTTAAAAAACTTTGTTGCATTTTGGCAACAAAATTTACCTTTGCTTTGGGGCATCACAATCCTCAAGCTGGCATTGTAATGAGGTTACCCTTGGTTCAGGTTTTTTTGGACTGTGTGGTCTAAATTGGGAAAATATATTTCCTAGATGTGTCTTTTTTTTTTTTTTAAATGTGAACAGTGAAAAGTTGGGCGGCTGTGACTGGAAAGGTGTGGTGTGGTTTTTTTGTTCATCTAGTTTCTCCTTACACTGCTTAAAATGTCCAAGACATTTAGAGACAAGTTGTTTCTGTGTATAGCCTCCAACCCCCAAAATCCTCTGCAGGCGGGAGCATGATGTGTTTAGGGTGTCCCCAAATGACAAGGTTAGTGAGCCAGGGATTTTGTGTGCTTCCTTAACCTTGTTCAGCAAGCACTGGACTCTTTTTCAATCACGCTTCAGTCTTTCTCCTTCCTAACAGAGCCAGCGCCGTGTTTTGAATAAGTTAGAGGTGGCATTATAGAGTCTGATCTAAACATCTGCCATAGTGAGTGCCTGAGGGATGGTGATTGGTTGGACTTGAATTCTAGACTGGTGAGATGGTGCTTTGTGCCAGAGGAGTGGGTGGTTCTTAATAAGCTCCAGGGATCCCTTATTTATTTATTTTTAAGAAAAGGAACTTGTGCTACAATTTCACTAAAAGTAAACCCACTCCCTTATTCTGGAAGTACTTAGGGATCCTAGCTTTAGCTCCTCCTTTAGGAGGCTCTCCTTTAGATTAAAGGACAAAAAAAGGATATGCTTCTAGTAATTAAAATAAATTTCCAGTGTTTCTCTTATCTGTCCCTCGCACCCCACCTCCTTTATCATGTTAAACAGTCTTTCTGCTTTTCTTATTCCTCCTCTCCTGGAGAGCAGTGATTAGAAACCACACCCACCCTCCAACTAGTGCTGCCTCTGGGGGAGGGAGGCTGGCTACCTGGGAAGAGAGGAAGGAAAATAAATGGCCCTGAACTTAGCTACTTTACAGCCAGATATCCCCAACACCATTAGAATGTGCTCACAGTTTCAGAAAATAAGCAAGACCCATAACTTACTAAGCTTTATAATTTGGACCAGTATCATGCTACTCCAAGAGCATCCCCTCCTAGTTTATACCTCAATTCTTTGAGAAAGCCTGTGTAGTGGTGGATACCACCCTCTGACCCCCACCCCACACACGTTTCTTTGCTATTAAGAAAGTCTGTTTGCTTTCCTAATCTGTTTAACCATTCATTCATGAAGAGTGGGAGGCCATTACTGGGAAAGGGGTGACAGTACATCAGCCAGCAAATGCCAGTGACTGAGAAGGAGTTGGGGACTACATTTAGGAAGCTAAAATGGCTAAAGCAATTAAAAGTTGAGAAAGCTTCCCTAGGAAAACAGCTGGAGTCTAGGCATTTGCTCTTCATTTGCATCAAATTGAAAGAGTGAGATTTAAACCTAGGTCGGCTTTACTTCTTGGGTACTTAGTAGACAAATGCATAGTTCCCCCAGGGAATTTAAATACTTGGTTGGGGGGGGCAGTGCTATAGCTTTAAGGTTGCTAAGAAGGTGTTGACATTTGTAAAATGCACAGCCCTTGCTCACTCAAAATTCAAATTTCAGTGGCTTTGATAAAACCAAGCACACTGAGTTACAGAACTCTGTGCAGGCCTTCTTACTCTCTTTACTCACACCTCTTCCTGGAGCCCGTCTGAGCACCACTTCCTTTTCTGTTTTTCAAATGAGGCCTCTTTCTGATCACCTTGGGTTCTTATTTGGCATGTCCTCCCGGAATCTGCAGCCAGCAGTCAGCTGTGCCTAGCTTGGGTTGTCCCCTCTTCCTTTTCTTTGTGGAAGAATCTAGAAATGATGTGCAAGGTATTTAAAAGTGGTGGGATGACGTGGGAGAAAGTCATTTAATCCATTACATTTATTTTCCATTTTAGCAACATGCCAAAGCTGGAAAAGAACAATTAATTTCTTTGGAAAAATAAGGCAGTTAAAACAGATGCTAAGCCTAGGGGAGGCTGTGTAGGTGATGCTTTGGGGGTGTAGCTTCAGGGTGCCGCTTTTTGTTCTTGGCTTTGCTTTTCCTCTACTTCCCTCATTCCCAAAAGAGGCAAAGAGAAAGCCCACCTGCTTCCCCTACAGCCTTCCTAAGAACAAACCAGGGGAGAGAGGCTACGTGTACTTATGATCACCCCCTATTTCTACCACTTATTTTCCTGTTGGCATTTTTGCTGTGATAATAAATAAATGAAAAGCCGTGGGATAGTTCAACAGCATCTTCATCACCAGCTTCTCAAAGACTTAGGGCTGGTTTTGACTCCACTGAGCAAGTTTCCAGCCATCCCCCTCACCTCTTAGCTTTAAGCAGTGTGTTGCTTCAGTAGTTAGAGGGTGGGGATTTAGATTGTCTAAATAAATGAATGGGACCCCCAGTGAATCAGCTGGCCAGATGTAGGGCATTAAAAAAAAAAAAGCATTATTTCCCTCCTCACATTTTGAAGTTGTGTGAACTGGATGGAAATCATTTTTCTTGGTGCCTTATTGGTTTATTCTTGCAACCCTTTTGTCATATTTTCACATGACCACTGCCAGTGACCAGGGCCTGTGTGTATGCCTTGTGTGTAATTGTGCACATGTACAAGCTTAAATAATGTGCCGACAGCACCGGTCCCAAGTTGGTATTCATTAGGCTGATCCCTCCTGGGCCAGGGCTGCACTAATCTTGACACTGGCTGCCAGGAGAAAACCTCATGGATCACACACCGAACCTTAATAACAGCATCCGTGACCTGCACTCACCAGTGCAGAATGGGAACCCCAGAGCTAGGAAGCACAGTTGTATATTTTAATGAACTGCCACCCCTGCTAAAGAAGCTGCTTTCACTTTTGTGCTCTACAGAAAGACCAAGGGGGGTAGGAGGACAAAGCTTTGAATAACTGCTTTCTAACACCGAATGTGGCAAACAGGACTGAGCACATCACAAATCTAGGCAGGTGTGAGGTACGGTGGTTGAGAATTGCCTGCTCTCTCTGTGAGCCCTTTCTTGTCTTAAAAGTCCAATCAAGTGATCCTGGGAAAGAAATCTGCCTGGGTTGGGGAGGATGGTTCAGAAAGAAAAAGCTACCAAGACATTAAAGAAGGGTGAAAGGTAGGCAGGATGTTACTAACCTAATTCAAACTCTCAGAAGCTTCTAGCAGCTTGATGACAATTAACAGGATTTATTTCAGTCAGGATAATATCTGTCTGTGGTACATCATTTTAAAACAATATTACTTCATGTAGTTATAAACTGTGTATAGTATGTATGTTTTGTGGGTGTGTATATACATAATATATATTATATATATGAGAGAGATTTAGTGACTTGATACGGGTTTGGTGCAGGTGAATTTTTTACTGAGCCAAATGAGGCACATACCGAGTCAGTTGAGTCCAGGGCATTAAGTGCTGTGTGTGATTTGCATATGTGTGTAATGCCTGTCCCATGCAGTATCATCACTGTCATGCCAAATCCAGAACTCACAAGTCAGAGCCAGCAATATTTTATTTGTAGACAATCAGTTTGAATCTATAGGTTCCGACTGGCAAATGATTATCTCTGAATCCGTAAACACTAAGAAAAGGAAGCCCAGAGTGTCTTGAAGAGAGGCTTGATTTGATTTTGTTCCTGGAAGTCAGTAGAAGAGCAATTGAATGTGGTCTCAAGATACTTGTTGACATTTCAGAAAAATTTTGTAATATACTGGTGGGAAGGTAAAATAATGATTTGAGATTTTTATCAAATATGGAGATTAGTTATTTATGAAAAACAAAGAAATGTCTATTTTTGTTTCTTTGTTCCCAATTAATGTAGATAACTTTTTAAAATGCATTAAAGCAATGGTGAAGAAAACAAAACAATGCTGTAGAAGTCTTTTTCTCCTATTTATGGAGAAATGCACTGGTTTCTAAGAATACCTGAGATGCAGATCCTAATCTGATAATCGGATTTCTCAGATGTCATTAAAGTATAAGCAATGGAATTCTTATCAGTAAAATGGAACAAATTCCAATCACTAGAAGTGGAACTAATTAAAACACATTTTATTTGCATACCCTTCCTGGGTTTCTCCTGCTAATGCCTGATGTTTCATCCTTCACTCAAGGAAATGAGGAGCACTCCTCGGAAGATCAGTGGCATGGCCCGATTGTGTCCATTTTATAAATGTATGTGTGCACTGTGCCAGATGAGTAGAGATGGTGTGTGCTCTGTGCGTCTGGTTGAGGAACTCCTAGAACTGCTTATCATTCAGCAGTTGGACCACAAATAGGTGTTGAGCTCTAAGTTCAAATCAGGAGTCCAGAGAAAACTGAAACTGACTTAAGAGTTGATACCCCCTGGTAATTTGGTTGGATGTTAAAATGCTATTACCACTGTCTTCTACTTGTGTCAGCTGCCCTGAAAAATGCAAATGAGTCCTAAGGTAACCAAACACCACCTTATTATGGTGTTTTCCAGCAATGCTCAGGCACTGTAGGAAAGTATGTGGGAAAAAGATAATTTTTTAAATGTATAGGGCAGAAACACAACTCTACTAAGAGATAATGACTTTAATCCATGTGTAAAGGCTATGCACTTTGTTAAGCACTATATAAGTTAAGGCCACTTGGAGAGGCAGTCTAGGAAATACAGAACAGCATCCTAAGGAAGAGCAGTCATAGTCACATGTACTAGACCCTACCTGGCATTGTCTCCCACCTTTTCTCCCAGTTCATTTTCACCCAGTAGAAAATGGGGGAAAGGATAGTCACAAGGTAGAGCTGAGGGACTGGAGAAGCTTGGAGAAAACTGGGCTGAAACGCTGGTCATGGTGGCA